AGGGTTTAGCTTTAGTGTTTAGGGTTTAGGGTTTAGATTTAGGGTTTAGGGTTTAGCTTTAGTGTTTAGGGTTTAAATTAAGGGTTTAGGTTTAGGTTTAGGGTTTAGTAATGTTCATTTGGATGAAGTAATAAACGATAATTGAGGAAAGAAAACGGAGATGATAAAACGATAATGAAAGAAATAAATGTTATGGAGAATGATATATTTACCAAGTGAAACCAAACCGAGTATATTTAACATGTTAAAACGACATATTTTAGAGGTTTAGTACCTAAGCTTAGGTGGGACTGTAATGTATATTCCCTATCCCATATATATATATATATATATATATATATATATATATATATATATATACTTTTCTTAGTATTTTTATTTTTTTAAAATACAATAGTAATAAAAATGAGTGGAAACTTTGGCAATGAGCATTTGTTTTTTATGTCTAAAAATGTTTTTTTTTTGAAAGTTAATTATCTTTGAACATTTATAAAAAGCAATTTTTTATTTAAAACATGAAAAAAAATGCAATTGCTTTTTGCTATAATTCAAATTTTCATATGCATATCTAGTTATCATAATATAGAGCTCATGTATGTTGATCAAAAGATCTAAAATTTCCTAATATGAATTAAACGTGTTACATGTTTGTCACATATTAATGTTAATGCACATAGATACTTCCAAATTACGTGGAAAATCGTGCAAATCGTTGTTTACTTGTTAATGTTAATGTATTTAGGCTATGTTTGACTTACCTTAACCAAGTTATATGTTAATATATTGTTCATATTTTTTTTTTATCTATCTATTCTAATAAAAGAATTGTTTTTTTTTTTTTTCTATGTGTCGCCTTATTAGACCCCTAATTCATTGTTACCCTATTAGATCTTCTAATTAATTATTGTTAATTATCAATCTATTGATTCTTTATATCAAATTTTAAAATTTAAATTTCCTACACTAATTAAATTAATTTAATAATATTAAAATAAAAATTAAAATAAAATTAATACAATTACAAGGTGATATAAATTCACATATTTATTTAAATCAGCGATTATAATTTTATACAACTAAAACAAATATCTCTTGATTGATAATTTATTTAAAATAATTGATTAATAACTTTAAGTTTTACTAAAAATTTAATTAATTTTGTAACAATGGTTCTAATGAGTTATAAACTCGTATTATAATATTTAAAAAATTACATTTCAAAAAAGATATGCACCACAACAAAAAATCTGCATTGTGAGAATATCTATTAGTTTTATTATCTTATAAAATAAATTTTGATAACTCGTTGAAATATCAATTTCCATTTATAATGTCTTGGTTTGTGTTTCTTGATAAATAATTTTAAGATTTGATATTATTTAATCATATATGTAAAATAATGGGATTACTATTTTGCATTTCTATTGCTGCTACTTTTATTTCTTTTATTTGAAAAAAAAAATAGACCTTGTAACGTAATTAAAACTAAAACTAAAAAAATATTATAAAATAAAATAAGGAGATTTGAAACGGTTCTTGAACACTTATTAGATTGTATTCAAGATGATGTATTTTTCTCATTATATTTATGGGTATTTATATTAAATAACATCATATTAATACATCATCAAAATAGTAACTAAATAGGTAAAGAAAATTATTCAATTGGTGAAAATTGTTCATCCACGTGCATTGTCTAACTCTATAATTTGATGTAATTTTTATAACACTCCATCTTGGATGACAATTTTTCTTATCTGAGTTCAACCTTGAAGTACTGCCTCATTGAAAACTCAGTGAGAAAAAATTTTAACGAAGGGAAAAAGAGTGCAGTATATAGGTGACTCCCGCTCATTTAGACATTTGTTACGTTACGTTTTATGCACATGTCGCATTTCGATGTCATGTACATGTTTTCTGAAGATTGTGGTAGGAAGTGCTTTCATGAAGAGGTTTGATACATTGTTGCTAGATTGAACATATTCGATCTCAACCATTTGATCTTTTATAAGCTCTTGAATGTGCTTAAAAAACTTTAGAGGTATATGTTTTGTTCTGTCGCTATTGATATATCCTTCTTTCATTTGGGTGACACATATTGAGTTATCTTCATAAATTAAAGTAGGAATTTTATCTTTATCTGGTTCACATGAAGAAAGAATGAGCTGTCTCATCGATCTTAACCATGTACATTCTCTACTAGCTTAATTTAGTGCAATTACTTCAGCATGATTTGATGATGCGGCGACAAGTGTTTGCTTTTGAGAGCGTTAGGAAATTATGATGCCTCCGTTCTTGAATACGTATCCAGTTTGAGATCTAGCTTTATGAGGATATCATTAGAATCCAATGGTGCAATACTTGTTTAATCAACTTCTAGCCCATTTTTCTTAAATATTTCATCAATTTGAGCCCAAAATGCCTCTTCAAATCACCCGAAGCTTCCACAAACTCCCGATCATCGATTTCCGTACACTTGAAAATTCTCCTGCGCCTTGCAAATTTAAAGTTCAAATCTTCCAAGCCTTCAAGCACTTGACAAGCCCACTCCAGGAATCACCTTCATAGCCATCAAACATAGGATCCCTATTGCCCTTCTAGTCCAATCGCCTCTCAAAAATCCCGTTCCACTAGTCTCCAAAAAAAATCTATAATAATACTCAAGAAACTAGAAAGTACCCGAAATGGTTATAAAATAACAAAAATGAAAATATGTATGGAAATTAACTAAAATGCGAATGAAATGTGCTAAAATAAACTATAAAAAGAAGTAAATAAAATGAAGCTATCATTAGTATAAAAGTTAGAATACATAAATAATAGTTTGACAAAAAATAAATAAATATCATTACTCGTTAATAGTGAATAATTTTTCATAATCCATTATTTGTTTTAAATGGTTATTTTATAATAAATACATTTTATTATTATTATTAAGTAATACATACCTTGAATATGATAGATATGATTTCGACTTGTTAAAGCATTCGTAATAATAACATGTTATAAATTCGATGTAATTAAGGAGATTTGAGAAAAAATTTGAACACTTACAAGATTGTATTCAAAATGATATGTTTTTTTCTTTACATTTGATAGGTATTTATACTACATAACATCCTATTCATACATCATCAAAATAATAATTCAATAGATAAAGAAAATTATTCATTGGATGAAAATGATTTATCCATATGTATTATTTAACACAATAATTTGATGTAATTTTTATAAGTTTGTTGAAGATAAACTTATTATTCATGTCTATTTTGCAACTTTTCAACACTATGTCAAATATAGAATTTAATATTTGAATGATTTTCATACATTACGGAAAATAATAAAAAAAATTATGTTTTACTAGTAGTTACATGATTATATCCTCATTCATTGCATAAAAATTTTGTATGTTTGTAAAAGCCAAAAACAATTAAAAGTTATAAAAAAATAAAAATAAAGGATAAAGTAACCAAAATAGTAACAAAAATTAAAACGCCAAACCAAAACCAAAACCGTAAAAAGACAAATATACTTATGTTTTCATTTTGATTTCCTTTACATCTGAGTAGTTAATCATTGTATATGTAACTTTTGTTTTATGGTGAATGAGAATAAAATTTTGAAGTTAGGATGTACGGTATGGAAAGTAAAGTGGCAGAACACGAACACTTGTAAGAGGGGTTGGAACAAAAATTTAAAACAAAGTTATATAAACAAATTTTTTTTATGAAAATTATGACATATAAAAATGTTTGTACCTTTCATTTATGAATTAGTTTTCTAAAAATTGCCAACTATTTTTGGGAAGTCTAATTAACCAACAACGAATGTTTAAATGAACAACTAAAGTTTGATTGAAAGTATTTTTTTCCCAATCAATTTTTAATAACAAAAAAATTAGTTAAAATCTTAATTAGACAACAAAACAATAAAGTATAAGTATAAAAATAAAAGATGTTGAATATCTAAAATTCAAGCATAAAAATAAAAGATAGCCTACACCTAGGAAAAAATAATTCAAAAACTATTTTCTAAAGAAGTTAATGCAGACATTCATAAGAAATATAAGAAATTAACAATTAAATCAACAACGGAAAATAAAAAGCTTTATTGCAGCCTTTTATTATCTTAACAATATTTTAGTATCACGTTTTAATAATATCACATCTACTAGATAAAGAGAAAGATAAAATTGGAAAGAGAGAAAGACTTCACTAGAAGTCCGATGATGAGACTATGTTAGAGAACAAAGACAACAAGCAAACAAAAGTGATGAAAATATTGTTAAAATAATAAAAAGTTGATGTGGTCGTTCATCAAAGTAGCAGTTTGCAAACGACAAACGACAAGAACGAGAGACAGAAACCGCACAAAGGTAATGAATGTAGAGAGGAGAGGGGGAGTGTTGAGCACTCTGAAGATGGTGGTGGTGATATGATCTAGTGAGTAGCCTTATTTATTTATTTTTTTCTTGCAACATATATCTTTAGTTTAGGGTTTATAGTTTCTTTTTTCTTTTTTCTAAATCATTTTAAGTAGCAACTTAAGGTTTAAATTGTTCAACCGGAAAGATATGGAAAAAACTTTATAGAGTTTAATGTTTGTTTTTACTCACAAGATAAATATCCGGGAGCTTGAAATTCCAACAAAGAAGTTTTAAACGTAACAAAACATAATTACCGCAAACACCATAATATAAAAGACATTTATTACGAGTCAACTTGAAATATTTTAATAAACACCGTTAATTTTTCGAATTTGATGTTGTAGTTGGATTTAATTTACCGTTTGTAGTATTTTAAGTATTTTTTTTCATTATAATTTTCTTTTTAAGATTTAACTTATGTTTTATGGTAGTGTATTCTAATTAAATATTATTTTTAATTTTTTTGTTTTAAATTAATAAAAGCTTAATTTATAAAATATGAGTTTACACGTGTTGTTAGATGAAAAAAAACGGAAAATAAATGAGAAAATTTGATACGAAAATGATATGAAAAATGAGTTTGGAGGCCTTGGTTAGATCGGTTTCGATCTGGATTTTGCCGGTTCCTAACTATTATTACCTTATCTCGACTTTAGTATCCTTTTGATGATCACACTTGAAGTAATTTGTATTTCTAGGGACTAAACTTTAATTTGCCAATACTTGAGGTGCATATTTAGAATATACCGTCATAATTTAGGGACTATATAATGAGGTGGGAAATAGCTTTGACATAAATAAATAAAAAACTAATGTCCCCAGGTTGAATTAGGGCTTTTTGTTGAATATCCCAGTATCACATCATCATCCCCATTTTCTCACTCTCGCTCTCACTCTCATTCTCACTAAAATGGTCGAGCTGCTCTCTCCGTAACCTGGTAATCTCTCTCTCTCTCTCTCTCTCTCTCTCTCTCTCTCTCTCTCTCTCACACACACACACACACACACGGATGGTGCAAGCAGACATGAGTTAGATTTCACTTTGACTTGATTTGAATTGTTTACAAGTTTCCTTCTTTTGATAATTTTCTAAGTTTAGTAATTTTGGGATTTTGGATCTTGGGATCCCGAATGCAGTTCAAAACTTTCCGATTTGTATAATTGACCTCTCTTATTTGACGATGCAGAAAAGGGCTACCTCGTAGTTCTCAATTGGAAGTGCGAGACTGCGAGCAGAAACTAGGTATGTTCCAAATCATCTATCTTCTCTCTTTCCACTCGATTTCAATTTCCATTTTTGTGATCTTGCAAGCTTTTAAATTAAATGCGGAGACAAGTGTGAAAGATTTGAATGTTGCTGAAGTTATAGCTGATTTCAGTATTCGAATTGCTCAATTTGCTCATGAACAGTTTATATATGATTTTTTTCATAGAATCTATATATGATTAGCAGGGGCTTCCAGTTCCGAGTTGATGCTACAATGGCAGAATACGAGAGCAGCCACCATAACTACACCATACCAAAAGAAACAGCCTTACAAGCTCTAAACACCATAATCCAGCTTCATTTCGAGAAAACCCTAGAAAAGAAACGAGCTGTAGACCTACAGAAAAAGGAGCTATGGAAGCTTTTCCAGTTCTTCTTCCTGTTCTTAGCCCTTGTATTTACAGCCCAGGTTCAGTCCACTCGGCTCCAATGCCGCCATTGTTGGGTACCCATTGGTCTCCTCTCTCTCTCCCACCTCATCTTCTATGTGTCAGTGGCTCAGACACTGAGGTGCATCAATGGGTTCAAGTATCAGAGGAGGTGCCATAAGTTGACACTTGGGTTAGCCACTGAGCGACTCAGGCAGATTCGGATGAGGATGAGCAGCAGCAGCAGTGTGGTGGCCGGAGGTGGTGAAGATGTTTTGAGGGATGATTATGAGATTCATTATCAAGAGCCACCGGATACTTATTTTGGTAAGTTTAAGAGGAATTGGGCTTTGCATTTTGGGTTTTTGATCTTGATTTATATTTTTATGGTGTCTTCTTCTGTTGTTCTTTTATGTTTCTAGGATTTGTACTGTAACAATGAATGGAGGGTTGAGATTTAGTTTAATCAACGTGATATCTTTTTATCCTGATTGTTGGTAACTAATGACTTTCACTAAAAAAAAAAAATTGTAAGTTTGAATTTTATTTTGGGCAATGCTCAGAAAAATTCAACATTTTAAAAAACCATTATGTTATTTCTATGTCTTTAAAACAATTATTATTGTTATCATTTTTTGGTTAAATTAGTGTTTCGCAACCGGACATGTAATTAAAAAAATTACATGCTTTATGCCATTATTAACATAAATTATGTAGCTTATGTTGAATGGCAATTGGAAATTCTGGAATTGTTTATATCAATATGATAACAATTTTCTGGAATAATTAATTTAATCAAAATAAAAAATATAATGAAAATATGTACGAAAATAGCATAATGAGTTTTTTAAAGTATTAAGTAATAATTAGTTGGGTTCTTTTCAGTATTGCCTTTTATTTTTGGATAATATATCTAGAACGCTTTCAAAGTTGGTCAAAAGTTTCAACAGTCATCGAACCAAAAAGAATGTTAAAAAGGATCTACCCAACTTTCCAATCGCAATCCTTGTCATGTAGCCAAAATGGCGACAACGATAAACATATCCTTTGACTTAAACTTAATTTGTTGTCTGGCATAAATCTTTTTACAGCACTTTATAGTTGAAAAAAATATATTTAAACGTTAGACAGAACGTAAGTTATTGAAAATTACATATATTTAAAAAAAAAACAGATTTCGTTGTATTTGATTTCTTCTATAATGAAAGCCTATGAAATGGCAATAGAACTACAAGTCAGAAGTTTGTTGATTAAAAATTCAATCACAAACACTACCGAGTGAGTGTATTAGGTTTACTGAGTGGTACAACAATAACTCTTAAGTTCTTTCATTTTTGCTAATTTGGGTAACTAATTATGTCACTTAACTTGATGTGCATGTTATTCAGATCACAGCAAAAATAAAAATAAAAATTGCTACTCAAATTAGCAATAAAATGATAGTTGGTTGATATATATTATACAACATACATATATGATGCGTGTTGGGTGTTTGGTAAAGAATAACACATAATAACCATTTTCACATGAAAATGTCACAATGCATGTGACAACACAACACGCCAAACAGTTTATGGAATCAAAAGGACAACAAATTTCCAAAGCAATTCTTAATTTCAATAAATTAAATCCCAAGAATCATACACAATCAATCTTACAAACGTTACAATGGTTTCCACTTTCAACTATGAGAATACTAGATCTACCAATTAACTTACGCGTTCTTGCTATATCAACATGGAGTTAGGGAAAATACTTTTAACTACATAATAAAATATATAGTAATAATAATAATAACTCTAATCTGATTAATTTTATAACTTAAGATCTTCATATCCCATAAATAAACAAATTAAATTTAAAAAAGCTCACGAAAAGGAACTTAACCTTCTGGTGTTTCCATATATATATATACTCAGCCAGCTCCAACTATGGCCTGCCTATTCACTTCCACTACTGTATCGCCCATCTGTCAATGTTACAAATTGTTAGAATCTGACTTAATGGGGACATACATGACTTAATGGAATAAGCCAAATTGATCTTACTTCCAGAATGATTTTTTCCTTCCATGGCTTCTCTTTTCTCTTGGCAAGTTACACAAAGAAAAGGGCCATCCCATGGTCTTGAATTCCTTGTGTTACATGATCCCCCCGCGTGTATTGAAATACCCTCACCCGGTTTCATTTCCACTTGACAAACCGCACATGTGAACAGTTTGAACATGTTACAAAGCGGGTATTTTGTATCAAACCTGAAATCGAAAAAAAAAAAAACAAATAAAAACAATATATCAGATATGGAATGGAATTGTTGATTCCATTCCAATGATAATGTAACGGAGTAACGGACCTTTCGGAAAGCATAGCGGATCCTTCCTCTACGAGCTCCTCCACTACATCTGGCTCCAGATACTCTTCACCAATATGAGATGTTGACTCTGTGCTTTTTCTCTTAAAAATGGCTTTCACTTTAAATACTCCTTTTGTCATCTTTTTGTGTTGGGGCATGGGGGGCGGATTCGTCTTTTCCGCTGGTAGAATGTCAACCACCATGCACGTTGTATCGTCACGTAATCCTTTCGGTTGCACAGCTTCCTATAATAAAAGAAGAGAGAAAATATAAAACTAGATGTTTACAGAAACATGAATGTTGACGAAAAGTAAAAGACGAATATGCCCTTACTTTAACAACTTGACCGGCAGCTGCATCTGGCGGCATCCCACGACAGCATTCTAGAGCCGCTTCTGCTGATAAAGCATCCCATACACCATCACTTGCAATGATAAGCCTTCCACCAGCGGATGACAGCTGCAGGTTTAAATCATGTCACATTGTAATGGATTACAAGAAGAAGGGTATTTACGTCTTTTTGGTAGTGAAGTGAAATGAATTTAACTTACCTTGACTTGCTTAACGTAAGGAACAGGAACTATAAACTCTCCAACATCTAAATCTCCAATAGATCTTGAAAGACACAAACCACCCGGCCAACATCTCAAAGGACCAATCTGCCATGATAATTGACATAAACAGAAACAGTGAAAACTCAATTTAATACAGACATTTACATATAAGATATAAAGGGTATTCTATTTGATAGCATAAAAGGAAATAAATAAATGACTGAAAAAATCAAGATGAAAAGATTCATACCTGCGTCCCACCACCTGTATTTAGCCTACCAACCTCACCACCACTTGCAGTGACACGTTCTGTCCTGCAAGATTAGAAAGAAAACATAAAAATCATAATATTGTGTTCAAATTTCAAACTTCAACCTTCAAAAAGTAAGTTAACATTAACAGATTAACTTACTCTTCTTCGTTGTCCTCAAATCTGTGATCTGCTGATAGATAATATAGGCTCCCATCTGCAGATTCAAGTATACAGCGGGAATCACCAACTGATGCTACAGTTACAATGAACCCTTCAATAATTACAAAGGTCACAGTTGTTCCTGACAGTTGACCTGCAATCGTTCAATACCATATTTAAGCACCATTTCACATATGAACAGTGTTCAGATTCAGATGGAATTGAAAAGGAAAGATGTGCACACCTTTTTCTTGGAAATCTTTATCTGTTTTTATAAACCCGGCCACCAGAGCCCTAGGCAATGCTGCAATCCATTCTTCTCGGTTAAGGTCTGCTGGAATTGCACTTAAGACATTGTTTAAAAGATTCTCCTTGGTATATATAGCTGCTGCAGCCCCATTATGGCCATCAAGTATCTGCAAATACAAGTTTTGTAAGATCACCATCACAATAGTCACTCACTGATAACATATCTCTAAAACCATCACTTGCTTCAAAATCCTTCTCGATTCAGATGAAATCACCAAATTGGGAGATTGTAGAGAATTACAGAAAATAAGCTACTCATCAATCTCATTAGAGAGAGAAAGCTTACCCCAAATACGGAATACGTAGTAACACCATCTCCCAATACGCGTTGGCATTCGCTCTTGATGAGTGTAAAATCTTCCCCTTTTTTGGATTGGTTGGCTTGACCACTAACAATTTCCGGCCTCTCGATCTTTTCATTTGCCAATTCACGCTTCAGCAACACCGATAACGGGACCGTTTGATGCTCACCTTTATGGGAGGACATTTCCTTGGTCCCTTCGAAAATCCAGATTTATAGAGAAAATATGAATATACTCTTCAACTCCTCGCCCTAGCAATAATATTTCAAGCCTAAAGCCTTCCACCTGCTCCTATTCGATGATCAGATTCTCAACAAAATCCTACAATACCAAAAGATCCATTATAAGACAAACCACTAGATTAAGCATCAGATTCAATTTCAACCAAGTGTTTACATCGTAATTTCAAACTTTCAATAAATCAAACACTGGGAAGATGTGGATTGGTGTATCAGAGCCCGATTAACGAGCAATGTAGATGATCAAAGAGGAAGAACAACAAAGTTTTTGAAATGTATTTCGAAAGATTTAACGGAAAAAAAAAAAAAAACAAATTACATACAGAAATTCCTTGTAGATGACGAAACTCTCCAATGGCGGGTGCGATTGAATGTTGCCGACAGAAAAACGAGAAAACTGAAAGAAAATAATAATTAGAAAGTGATTAGATTCGTAGCAAAAATTCCGCGAGAGGGAGAGAGAGAAGGAAGGATGCAAATGGATTTGTGTTCGTCTGTTGATTATTTGGTTTATTTGTTATTGCATTTTGGGTGTTGATGTTATTTTCTCGTCATGTGCGAATGCACCGTTTTCGGTTCGAAAAGCCGGCTTGGAGATGAGCTGAGCTGTGACTGACTGCGTCGTGAGTTGTTTTTATGTCTTTATTTCTTTTATTTCTTTTTTAATTCTTTTTTCCAATGATTTGGATAATCCTAGTGCATATTGGATTCGTCAGAACATCCTTTTCTTATTTGGATAAATGACCTATGGGTTTATTTATTTTCAAGTTTTCTATTAATTTTTTGGTTTTATAGTCATTTAGTTATTTATTTTTTGGTTTGGTCATATTTAATCACCTAAGCTTATTTAATCTCTAAACTTTTAATTTTTTTTTAAAGTTTAGTAACTAAATGTGCACAACTGTAACGTTAGGTGACTAAATGAGTACAAATTTAAAAGTTAAATGACCAAACTAAAAATTAAGTGACTAAATGAGGACAAAGTCAAATGTTTGATAGCATTTTAAAACTTAAAAATAATTAAGTGATCAAATGAACAAAAAACCAAAAATTAAACGACCAAAAAATACCTAAACCTATAAAATATATGGAAATGACAATTAATGTAGGAAAATTTATTTAAAAAAATGATGGGAAATTTTGTAGAAAATTATAATTTTATGAGAAAGTATGATTTTCTTGATTTCTTTGTTAAATTTGATTTTATTCTTTGTTAATTATATCAAAAGAAAATTATTCCTATTTTTGTTTATCAGATTAAGTTATTT